AAGAGGAAGAAGAAGAAGAAGAAGGCGGGAGGAGGCGGGGGCCGGCGGCGCGCGGCGGCGGGCGGGCGCGTGCCGTGCCTCGGCGAGAGGCGGAGGGAGCGGAGCATGAATGGAGCAAAATGGCGGATCATGTGCAGGTGAGAGAAGAAGGAGGAGGAGGAGGGTGTGTGTGTATATATATATATATATATATATGTGTGTGTGTGTGGAGGGAAGAAGGGCGGGACGAGACGAGACCTCTTACTCCCCGCCCCGGGTTGCCGGGGTCGGGCCTACCCGTGTTTCCCCCCCCCCTCAACAACCGAGGCCCGGCCCGGCACGGATAGGCCAGGCCTCTCCGGTGAGGCCTGCTCCGGCCCGGTGAAGCCTGACCCGGCGCGGTGTGAGGCGCCGCCGCTGATGGATCCCCACTCCCCACCCCGGTGCTGGCATGGCGGGCGCGGGGGCGAGCGGCCTTGTTGGGCCGGCGGCGCGGCATCCTCCTCCTCCTCCGGGCCCGTGTCAGGCTTGTCTCCGCCGGGAGGGCGACTTCAACGGGGGGGGAAGCCGGCGGTGTTTACCGGCCAGGCCTCCCGGCCGCCCCTGTGGAGTTTTCTAGCAAACACCTGGAGGAAGGAGACCCCCCCATTCCCCGTCTCTCCCGGTGTCTCTGCAGCCCCCGCAGCCCCCCCAGCTCTGGGGGTTTTGCGTCCTTGCTTCCCCCCAGTGTTTTATTTTGCAGCGAGGCTTGGCCTTGGAGTTAAACTGGGTTTGGTTGGCGTTAAAAAACAACCCCCTGCCTGGATGTTTGCTGTCGTGGGCAGGAGCTGAGAAGCAAATGGAAGGTGCCAGTGGCTGTAACCGAGTCAGGTTGGTGTGGTAGGATGGAAAACCTGCTCAAGAACCCAGTGCTGTCACCAACAGAATTAGTAAAAATAGGCCCAGCTGGGGGGAAACGGTGAGTGGGGGTTTGTTTGGGTTTGGTTTGTTTTTCTTTTTTTGCATAATATTTTAGTTAAGCCTGCAGAGGATTTGCGTGGTGGCCAAAAGCCTGGCTAAACTGTAATGACACTGGTAGTTACATATTACCTATGGAACTTGGAAATAAATATATTCTTCGCATGGTACCGTCGTGGACCACAAGGGTGAGCAGTTTATTAACTCACAGCAGAGCCGTGCAGCTCGCAGGTTGTCTGGCAAGGTTGTTGGCAAATGTCTCTCGGGTAATCTCAGGGGAGGAGAGGAATTACTGCATTATTAAACAATTCACAGGCTCTAAATTTCCTGAAGAAACTCTGAATTCGTTTGCGGGGAGTGGAGCCCTGCCTTTCAGACTCAGCCTGCGGTTTGACACCGGCGGCGGGGGGAAAGAGCTGCTCTTGTTGCTTTAAAGCTCTGCTTCCTACCCTGCTTTCCTTTGTTAAATATTGAATTGAGCAAATGGGAGTTGGAGCCCGTTAAGAGCGGGGTCGCAGTTGCTGTGGTTCGAGTTGGGTAGTTAAAGTTT